TTCCAATCCATAGTGACCCTGTACAGGGTTTGTCAAGGAACAGCAGGTGTGACTGAACTGCCAACCTTGTGGTTCAAACTGACCTTGCAGTCTAGTGCTTCACCCACAGTGGCAATAGGTTTTATATGATGCTGATTTCAATTTCAATTTTTTTTTTCCTGTGCAGTGTACATGATATGTTAGGTCTTTGTCTTGGTTTAGCCTGTTAACATAGAAGATTAGTTACTAATAAAGCAGCCCCTCTCTTCTGGCAGGATTCCGTCTCAGCTCTGTAAAGCACTTTTTTCAATGTAAAAAGAAATCACTGTCAACTGGCTTCAATGTGCCATAGCTGCACACATTCTCTTCCCCCTACATTTGGCTAGCCGCTGCATTTGGGCCATTGGAATTTCCTGCCCATTCAGATACTGTATGTGGACATGAGAGCAGCGGGTGCAGTTTTTTTTCACAACTAGGCATGCTAGTTGTGAAAAAATATGGTAGTATTCCATTGTCTATATGCACACACACTTGATTATCCAGTCATCTATTGATGGGCATTTAGTTTGTTTCCATCTTTTGGCTACTGTGAATAAGTACAGCAATACATTTTAGTATACAAGTGTCTTTCTGAGTGTCTACTTACAAGATTTATGGGGTTTATACTTAGGAGTGGAATTGCTGGGTCACATGGTAGTTTTATTTTTAATTTTTTGAGGAATTTTCCTTCTGTTTTCCACAACACCTGCACCATTTTGCATTCCCACCAGGAATGGGTAAGGATTCCCAATTGCCCACAACCTCACCAATACATTTGTTATTTTGGTTTGCTTGTTTGTTTTTTAATCTTAGCCATCCTAGCAAGAATAAAATGGTAATGTGTCTACTCAAGTCCTTTGCCCATTTTATGATTGGTTTATTTGTCTTTTTGTTGGTAGGTTGTTACAGTTCTATGTACATATTACTAATTACCTTCTTGTGGGCAACATGGTTTCCAAAGATATTCTTCCAGTTAGTAGCTTATCTTTTCACTTTTATGGCATAGTCTTTTGATAAACCAAAGTTTTTTTACTTTTATGAGGTTCCCATTTATTTATTTTGTTTTGTTTTTTGCTATATGTGCTCTTGTTATTATATAGTTGTTGAAATTTAGACCTGACAGTTTTGCCCTGTTTAGCCTGTACATTTAGATCCTTGATCCATTTCTAATTTATTTTCTTGTATGGTGTGAAACATGGATCTCATTTTATTTTTTGCATGTGGAAATCAAATCTTCCCAGCACCATTTACTGAAGAGGATTTTCCATCTCTGTTGAAGTATTTAGTACCTTTGACAAAAAAAATCATTTGATCATAGATATGTAGATTTATTTCTGGATTCTCAATTGTATTCCATTGGTCTATGTGTCTATTGTTATGCCAGTAACAGGCTGTTTTGATTACAGCAGGTACATAGTATGTTTTAAAATCAAGAAATGTGAGGGCTCCTAATTTGTTCTTCTCTTTCTTGCCACTGAATACAAAGTTGAGATTTTTTTTTTTTTAAATTTCTGTAAAAAGGCTGTTGGTGTTTTGATTGTGTTGAGTCTATAGATCACTTTGGGTAGTACTGGCATCTTAACAATATTAATTAAGTCTTCCAATCCAGGAACATAGAATACCTTTCCATTTATTGAAATCTTCTTTAATCTATTTCAGCAGTGTTTTAGAGTTTTCACTGTTACATCCCTGGTTACATTTATTCCTAGATACAGCACCACAGGCTAAGAGCTCAACCTAAAGGTCTGTTTGAACTGCGAGGTGCACAGTTCAAACTCACCAGCTGCTCCTCAAAAACCCGATAAAGGATTGTTTTGGGTAGGAACTGACTCAACAGCACTTAACAATAATTTTTTTCTCTTAGCTATTATAAATGGAATTATTCCCTAATTTCCCTTTCAGATTTCTCATTGATGGTGTATAGAAACCCACTTTGTACCCTGCAATATTGCTAAATTTCTCTATTCTAGAAATTTTATTGTGGACACTGGGCTTTTCTTTATATAGGATCATATATCATCCATGAACTGAGGTCATTTTACTTCTTGTTTTCTAATCCAGGAAGCTTTTATTTCTTTTCTCTGCTTTACTGCTCTAAGATGTCTTATACAATGTTAAATAGAAGTGGTGAGAGCAGATACCTTTGTCTTGTCCACAGTTTTCAGAGGAAAGCTCTCAGGCTTTCTTCATTAAGTATAATACGAGCTGTTGGCTCTTCATACATGCTCTGAATTATATTGAGGACTTGCCCTTTATTACAATCATTTTAGGGTTTTTATCCGAAAATGGTGCTGGATTCCATCAAAGCTGCATCCACGGAGATGATCACCCAGTTCTTTTCCTTTGTCCTACTGATGTTGTGTATTACTCTAATTGGTTTTCTAATGTTGAACCATCATTGCATTCCTGGAACAAATCCCACTTAGTCATGTGTATGACTCTTTTAATATCCTGCTGGATTCTGTTCACTAGTATTTGGTTGAGGATTTTTGCATTTACGCTTATAAGAGATATTGCTTGTCATTTTCTTTTTTTGTGGTGTTTTTGTCTGGTTTAGGTAGGAGGGTAATGCTTGTTTTATAACATGAATTAGGGAACATGCCTTCCTTCTGTATATTTTGTAAGAGTTTAAACAGCATCGGTGCCAATTATTTTCTAAACATGGGTAACCGACATCAGCTTTCATAAAGTTTCCCAGGTGATTCCAATGTGTAGCTCAAATTGATAACCATTGTTCTGAATGGATACCTGGGGTGGTAGGATTTGGATAGATAAAGAGAACAGGTCAACAAAAGTTCCCAAATCTCTACCTCCACATTCTCAGACTTCTGGGATCTGACTACTAGACTCTGGGACTGCTACCTTTACAGATTTTTAACTAGCCTCAGGTCTGCCCATTAGTAAGGCTATTTTTCTACATCAGGAATGGATACAGAGGCTTCTCCTCACCACCGGAAGTCTTTCAGAGATACTGTATCACTGCCCATTGCTCTAACACCTTTAAATTAATGACTCCTCCCCCTTTAGCCCCATGGCCTTATCTGCTCTGCTTCCTAAGCTCACACCCTCAGAGAGGTATACAAAGTACACTGTAAGCCAGCCAGCAATTCCGTGGGAAAAAGATGAGGCTGTCTGTTCCCTGGAAGATTGAAAACGTCAGAAACCCTATACAGGGTCGCTATGAGTCTGAAATGACTTGATGGCACTTAACAAAACAAACCTAAGTAATAGCGTAATGAGGCATACCAAAAAATGCCTTGAGGGGCAGAGAAAAGTTTTCTGATATCCCAGGCAGTTGCTGTTGTTATGTGCCGTAGAGTCGGTTCTGACACATAGCGACCCTGTACAGGGTTTCCGAGGCTGTAAATCTTTACGGGAGCAGAAAGCCTCATCTTTCTCCTGCGGAACCGCTGGTAGTTTTGAAGTGCTAACCGTGAGATTAGCAGCCCAATTCATAACCACTACACTACCAGAGCTCCTTATCCCAGGCAGAGTTAAAAAAAAAAAAGAAAAAGAAAAAGAAAAGGAGTTAATATGTTAATATATGTCCTTATCGTATACTTCAAAATCTTAACACGTGTGTTCTTAGATTAACAAAAAGGGAACTGTCTTAGGTGGTTACTTGAGTGTTGTGATATTTCACATACAGGCAAATATGCTAAGAGACAAAGAGAAAATGGAAAAATTCCCCCTCTATTAGGGATAAAGCAATGTAATAATTATGGCATGCAAAATGCAGTGCTACCTATGAGTCCTAGTGTGGTGTTGTCAGATAATCACAAGACTGGTAACCACAAGGTTAGCAGTTCAAACCCACCAGTTGCTCCTTGGAGACCTTATACAGGGTCACTATGAGTCAGAACTGATTCGATGGCACTTAGACCAACAATGGATCTTTAAGGTCTTTTAAAAAAAAACCTAAGCATAGTTTTGCAGAATTTATTTTTCTACCCAAACACTTTTTATAACATTGGCAAGATTGTTGTTGCTGTTGTTTTAAGTGCCATAAAGTGGGTTCCGACTCATAGCGACCCTGTCTAGGGTTTTCAAGGAGCAGCTGGTGGGTTTGAACTGCTGACCTTGCGGTTCAAACAGACTTTGTGGTTCAGTGCTTTATTCTGAAGCGCACTTTTGACTCAGTCTTACACATGGAGGAGGGGCCCTTTGTTAGGAACTGTAACTATTCTCACTGTGCATGTTTTCAAGTTTCTCTGGGATGGTTCTAAATCATGTGGTTAACTCTTTATGTAACTGTGACAAGCCATGTTCTTTCTTTTGGGGAACAATGTACTCTGGGATGCCGAGTAATTGTCATCTCTGGGTTTAAAGTCTATATGGAGGATCTTAAAACAGGCAGCAGAGTATGAAATTATAGAAATATTTACTTTATGTCACGTACTTTATATACTTACTGTGATAGGCTTTTCACAATGGAAACTACAAAGAAATGCAAGCTCCTAGCCAGCACTAGCCTAGTTTCCTTATCCCCTGAGGAGGGAAGCACTCTTTACAGAGAGGCAGTTGGAGCCAAGCCCAGTCAGAAACTCAAGTCCTGAAGTTTCCACATGGTGAGGGCAATCTGGTGGCACTGGTGCTCTTGTTGAGAGATGCCAGTGTTCCTGTCTTGTAGGCATGGCAGAGTGATCAGGAGTTGAGGCACATACCAGCTGGGGCTGCTTGGTTTTGTGGCATCCACAAGGCTGCCAGCACGGAATGGCTTTGGGCCAACTCCCTGGGGGACAGTGCTTCGGGAGAATGTCCTGAATCAGATGGAGGTGTAAAAAGTTCTTATATACTGACAATCTATCACAAGGATTGCTGTCAAACAGCAATGCATTTAGTAAGGAGGAATTCTGGCCACTTCTCTATCTGGAGAGCGGAAGTAAGGGAAAAGGACACTTCTCTGCTTGCTCTCGCCTGATTCTGAAACCTCATAGCTCCTGGGCTTCATGAGCCCCTTAGGAAGGGGAAGTCGTGCTGACCTGGTCAGGTCTTCGATGTCCACCAGCATGGCATCTTGCTCTGTGTGTAGTTCATCTCGAATAAGAAGCAGCTGGACCAACTCTTCATTCAAGCCTGGGCAAAGAAAAGGGCATTTAAAAACAGAGTAAACTGCACCCAAGTTCCTCGGTGGTGCAAGTTGTTAAGTACTGCATAAGTGTCCTGGTGTGGCACTGTGGTTCAGCACTGACTGTGAACCACAATGCCGGCAGTTCAAACCCACTAGCTGTTCCTTGGGAGACCAAGGTCACTGTAAGAACTGACTCAACAGCACTTAACAACCACAGGATCTTGTTACCTAATCTAGGGTAGGTAGTCATGGCTGACAGATACAGGAATTAAAGGCAACTTTAACACCCAATAACTTTAAAGGAGTCCTGGTGTGGTACTGTGTGCACTGGACCATAAGGTCAGTTTGAACTACAAGGTCGGCAGTTTAAACTCACCAGCTGCTCCTCGGAAACCCTATACAGGGTTGCTATGAGTCAGAACTGACTTGAGGGCACTTGACAACAACAACAATTACCAAAAAGGTTGGAGGTTTGAACCCTAGGAAGAAAAGCTTGGTAATCTGGCTCTTGAAGGTCAGTTTGAATAAAGCCCTATGGAGCACAGTTCTACTCTGCACACTTGGGGCTGCCACAGGTCAGAACTGACTTGATGACAGCTGGTTTGGTTTGGATTTAGGTGCATGTATTGTTATTGTTAGGTGCTGTCTAGTTGAGTCCAATTCATAGTGACCCTATATAAATCTTTTCGGGAGCAGAAAGTCTCATCTTTCTTCCGTGGAGTGACTGGTAGATTCGAACTGCAGACCTTTTGGTCAGCAGTCCAGTGTTTATCCTACAGCACGACTAGCACTCCATATATATAATCATATGCAAATAGCTAAATGTAATAGAAAAGTTATTTCTGTCAGAATGTAGACTTGCTATATTAGCTCTGCATGAGCTGTGAGAAGTCATCAATTTGAGAAACATGACTAGCTTGTGTAACTATGAAGGTGTTGGAAGAAAAGCAGTAAAGTCAGAAGTAATTCTAATTACTGTATTATCACATTAAAGTGGGAAAATGAATTGTCAGCTGTTAGATATTTTTTCTGGAGCATATTGAGTTCCCCACCCTTCATCCAAGGAAGCTCCTGCCACACTGACAGGGGGAGCCCCCCCACTTGGACTCCCCGCAGCACTACATCAGACACTCAGCTGGAGAGGAAGGCTTGTCAGGGTTTCCTCTAAGCCTTTCCACAGCCTCAGGGGAGGGGGCTGCTATGCAGTAGTTACTAAGGAAAAGGATTACCTGAAGAATTTGAAAAGCCAGATTGGGGGAAGAGTCAGATTTGTAAAACCTGAAGCAATAACCACTGAAATCCCTGAACACCAGATGCCAAGGGACATCTTCATTACATCTTATACCTGGGAAGTCTCTGGGGGATGGGGGGTGGGGGGTGGGAGGGTGTAAACATTAGCAAGTTTAGCTGCTAACCAAAAGGTTTGAGGTTCTGGCCCACCCAGAAGCATTTTGGAAGAAAATCCAAGCAATTAGCTCCCTGCCCCACCAAAAAAATGAACCACTGAAAACCATAAAGGGGACAGTTCTACTTTGACACATGAGGTTGCTGTGAATGGAAATTTTTCTAATCCTCATGAAATCAGTGCACAGGGTTAATTTGGCTTCTGTCTTGAGAAAATATAAACAAGCAAAGCACTTGCTCTCGCTCCTCGGAGAAGAATGAAAGCTGCCAAGCACAGAGTACAGTTAATGGAAGGCAGACTGTTTAAAAGCACTTCTGAGGGGGGCCTATCTGCATACCACCTTCCTTTCTTTTGTTTTTACTGAGGGGGGCCTATCTGCATACCACCTTCCTTTCTTTTGTTT